CTTATGACAACAGGCTGAGAGCTATGAGGCTCTTTAAACTGGAAAAGCGCAGGCTCAGGGGTGATCTGATGGTCATCCAAAAAATTTAATCACGGGTGTTCACCAGGACCTGGGGGAACGTTTGTTCACCAGAGCGCCCCAAGGGATGACGAGGTCAAATGGTTGTAAACTACTGCAAGACCGTTTCAGGCTGGACATAAGGAAGAATTTCTTTACTGTCCAAGCCCCCAAGGTCTGGAACAGCCTGCCGTCAGAGGTGGTTCAAGCACCTACATTGAGCACCTTCAAGAGCAAATTGGATGCTTATTTTGCTGAGATCCTATGACCCCAGCTGACTTCCTGCCCCTCGGGTGGGGGGCTGGACTTGATGATCTTCTGAGGTCCCTTCCAGCCCTAATGTCTATGAAATTAAGTCTCACCATGAATGTGCTAGAGGCCTTAGTTCCTGGATGAAGTTTCTGGTCAAAACCAAGCTAGAGACACACCCATCCCAGAAAAGCCCCAAGTCCACTCAGCAGGACGTTGCCCTGTGACATGGGAGATTCCTGCTCGAGTCCCTGCTCTGCCTACTTCAGATCAGGAACCTCAACCTGGCCCTTTCCCATAAAAAATGAGTGCCTTGAACAGTCAGCATATGGGGTCTGAGGTGAGTCTCTCTCTGACTCTTCTGTTCTATTGTTTGTAAATATAAAAAAATCGAATTGCAGCAGGGCTTTCAACCTCCGGTTCCAAATTCCCAAGCAGGTGCCCTATCTGCTGGTCTAGAGAGTCAGCCTGACTTACTCATGCTCAATGAGCATTTAAGTAGTGATATGAAATGTTACAATTCCAACAGAAAAAAATGGGAGCTAAGCTGGATGATTAGGGCACTCGCAAGGGACACAGGCACATATGGGTTTCCTGGTCCAAATCACAGGCACATGGCCTGATCGCAGAGCTAACAGTTGTTTGACGGTGGATGTAGTCTTTCCACAGAAATCTTCCAGAGAGCTCTGTTTCACCTTAACGCAGAACAAGAACATTTTTTAAATGCTGCACATTTTTTGCAGTGTGCGTGCCCTGTTTTGTGACCAGCTCTCTTTACATAGAGCAGTTATAAGAGTGCATGGGCAAGGACTATAGGGCAGCAGGACAGCCAAAAGGCTCCCTCTCCAGGTCCCTGATTTCAGGGTCAAAGATGTACTTTGTTCAAGTAGTTATCCACAGTTTGGGACAGCACAGGGCCCAGCAAACACTCTGCAAGCAATGCAGACAATTTGTGAGCCTGCTTCTACATGGGGCTTAGCTGCAGAACACTGGCACTATGGTACAGGCAGCAGATGGCTCAGATGTGCCAGGAGAAGCTAGGGGGAGGGGTCTGCTTAATTTTGGCCCAAAAACCACTGTGAAACATGGGTCCTTGGGAAGATTCCCCCGGACACCATCTGCACTGGATGCCAGTGAGAGCAGCAGTCTCCTTAAGACCTGTCCAGCAACAGCCTTTCCCTGCATGGCAGACAGAAGGTACCACAGCTTCAGCTGGGTCTATCCCAACAGCAGTCACTGACCAAAAACAGCCTTCCCTATTTTCTGCCTGAGCAGAAGCATTCGCTCTCCCCATTTGCTAGCAGGGAGACCTTTTTCCCAAGCTTCACTGATTACATAACTACACAGCCACTATCATGCTCCCTAGTTTTTAGAAAATAAGGGCTGTTCAAGCCATTCTCCCCACATCTGCTACCTGTCCAGGACAGCTGACTCTTCACTTACCCTCGTCTCATGGACAAATCCTCCAGAATGTACTTTTCCCTGCCAGACCACTGAAGCCTGAACAACACAGGAGCATGTCAATCAGCAAAAAAGAGGAGCAGTGTAGGGCGTTTAACATGCTCCTCCAATTAGCTGAAAGCAGGGGTTATGCAGCTAGATCTCTAACGCTATGCTGACAACTTCCCCCCTAAGTGACTGCTGACAGCCACAGGCCAGAATTTTTGTAACACAATGATCAACTGTGTCATTGCATAACATGGGACTAAGAGCACACGGGGCGGGGAAAAGCAACAAGAACAGATTAACTCCTACGGAGACAAAGTCGGCTTCAAAAAGAAGAATAATTTCCGAGTCTCCCTCAATCACTCTGCTCCACTATCTACAAGCGGCACCTACAGTTATTGACATTGAGGAGAACATCTTTTCCTTAGGGCGCTCACACTGTGCATTCATGTGCACTCAGCTTCACGGCTCTTATGCTACTGCCCTGCCTGCACAGGCTATCCACAGCAACAAGGAGAGAAGGCAATTGTGAAGCCACAGCCACTGGCAAGGAGGCTGTTGGACAGGGGCTATGCCTAGTCATACTTTAAACACATTTCTGGAAGGGGTGAGATTTCAAAGTCGGCATCTCTAGAAAACATATCCTATTTACAGGCAAGCATTCCTAGAAATAAAAATCACCAGCCCCTGAAAAAAGCAGCATATATCACAGGCAGAACTGTCCCCAACACCAAATCCTTTGTAGCTTTCCGTGAGGATTCAACATTCCTTTAGAAACAGCAAGTCCAAGTTTGTGTTCAGAAATTGCTGCAGTTCTATTTTCAGGCATACTCTAGTTCTCACCCCTAGCCAGCCTTATGAAATAGGTCTGTGCTGATGACTCAACCAGCTGTGGTGCTTGGAAAAGTTATTGTGTGAATCTCCAGTAGCATGGCAACTCTGGTTGTGAATGGCAGCCTTGTTTCATTCTGCTTTGTTGCCTTCATTCATTATAAATCAGAATAAAACCCTTCCTGTAATGCTCTGTTACCTGGCAAGAGATCAAATTTCTGGAGAATCTAATCTTTTATTAATAACGCTGACAAATCACTAAAGTATTATCCTTCACTTATGCAACAATTCAAATCCTACAAAAGCTTCTTCCAATTATTTAAGATGCACATGCACATACACAGAGAAAATGGGAGACTAAAGTCACCCTTGCATAAGCCAGAGAAGGGATTTAGCTCCATGGGGTGCAGGTACTGATGTGGTTCCTCCAGCCCAGTGACCTGTGTGAGGAGCAGGGATGTATACTCTGATAGGGGCCCATTCCCTATCTGGGCTAGTCTTGCGCCTCCTGCATCAGTCACACACTGACGTGGGCTGCACTGGCTGGATTTGCCCATCAGAGTGGAACTTCTCTATGCTAGGCTGCTCCCTCAACTGAGCTCTCCAACATTAGAGCCCCAGAGCTGGGACTCCACTGACAGTCTGGAGAAGAACTGGGTTCAAAGTACTATGTTGCTGGAATTCTCCAGTGACGAAGAAAAGGAAGAGAAGCGCTCACATTACAGTGGCTCTGCCTTGTAGATGATGGCACTGCTCTGAGAACGCCAGGCCACAGGAGATTTAAATTATGTAAGCCATTATTCCTCACTGGCAGCATGTCATAGGAAAGAACAGCCCAAGGTAAATGCCTTGTCTACAGGAGTCCTGGGGAAAATCCTCCAGCAGAAATACAGTGAACATTACACACAGTGCTGCCAGAATGCATGGGTGGGTTCGTGCTGCCTCCCAGAAACCACTCCAGACGGGGAGTTTCAAGCCCCACATGCCCCATCTGTAGCCTGCTTTGTCACTATTTGGAACATGTGATTTCATCCAAGAGACTCATACAACTCCAAATCCTGGCTGAGAATCTAAATAGACCAAATTAAAACCCTTTGGGAGATCTGAAACAACACTGGACACATTTGCCCTTCATTGTAGTTAAGCCCAGAAGCCAGTATTTCAGAAAAGTAATAAGAAAAAAAATCATTCAAGAAACTGGGGATCAAGCTGAAGTAGGGAGATTTTCAAACGTATAAGTGCAAGTTAGGTGTCTGAGCCTCCAAAAAGAGTCCCCTTAAGACAAGGAACAGCAGCTCCCCTCATCTGCTCAGATGGGGGCCCAGTCTGAGTCAGTGTTCCCTCCTGACTAGAGCTGGAAGCCCAGCATACAGCATGAGCCCAGCACACAGCCAGTATTCAGGACCCCTCTGGCTAAATCTGGGTGCCTTGCCAAACAACTTTATAAAATCAGCCCAGCCCCAGTCCTTAATCTTTCCTAGTTATGGTAAAAGTAAGCTTCTAGTTCCAGTCAAAGCTGAAGGTTTGGAGATGGGGATGTTTGCAGCATACATCATGTATACTTCCCTCTCCTGGTTGGATACTGCTAAGAAAAACACATGCGGCATCAGGGAGCTAGTAAGAAGACAAATCACCAATCAGAGGTCACAGCTAGTAGGGAGAACAGCGCTATATTAGACATGTGGCGGGCTTGCCAGGTTTCGCCTGGCTCTCTAGGCTTAGGAAACCACAAATGCAATTCGTGGGGCAAAACCCAGCAATCAGAGACAGGCAGGGGAGGAGCCCAGAAGACAGTCCACTTTGCCTCTACTCTAAACGGGGGGCAGGAGTGGATTTAATTGGGAACTACAGTTCCAGCCTCCTGATCGGTTCCTTTTCAATCTGGGGGTGGAGCCCCAGAAAGGGGATATAAGCAGCTGCATGGCGAGCATGTGGCGCAGTCGGTAAGGGACAAAGAAGAAGGATGAGGTCCCAGGGCCAAAAATAGCTGGGAGAGCTTCCCAGTGGGTGTATCCGACTGCCCAGAAGAGCCTGAAAGGTTATGCTGCTGGCCAGAAGCAGCGGGGGTTGCAGGCATCGCTGCAGAGGGTCCACAAGGGACCGGGACCCTGGGAGCCACAGCAAGGTGGCTCAGGTCTCCAACCCTGGCACAAGGCCAGGCATGGGAGCCAGTGCTACCACGGGGTGAGTCATTGCAGGGCACAAGGGGTGGAGAAGGAGGGGCCAGGTAGTCTGAGACCCATTCCCTGCAGTCAGTCCCCCAGGACCCCAAGAACGGAGCAGTTCCCGAGCACAGGGGTGTGTAGGTATTCGGAGTGACAGCCCTGGGCATGCATGAGGCGGCCCAGGCCTGCAACTCCCCCTGAGAAGGATTGAGACACTGGGACGCGTGAGCGAGTCACACCCCTTCCCTGAGCCCTCCCCTGGAGAAACATTAGTTAGGCCAGGGCAGCTTATGGACAACCCCCCACCTGGCTCCTTGGGACACGCAAGTCAGTGGGGCACCGGGTCTCCTACCGGGGAGTGACACTCAGGGGGAGGCAGCCTCACTAGGAGAGGCAGAAGGAAGGGACCCCCTAGAGAACTTTTGTGCCTCACATTTTGGAGTGTTTTATTGATTGCTTGACACATGCATGTATCTTCGGAGTGTTTACTAACTATTAACTGTACGCCTTGTGTTTAGAGTGTCATTTATTGTGGCACTTGCCTGTTCATATCAGTTGGACCATTATGCTTACCTGCTTGTATATGGGTATGTACATAGTTATAGATATATATATATTTGTAACCTGTAAATACTCACCTTAGTTCATATATATTAAATCTGTACCTGGTTAAGACATTGTTTTCTGTTCCTCTTCTACTGAGACACGACAGGTGGGAAGGAACTGCGAGTAGACTGCAGTTGCCATCCCCAGCATGGGTACTCGGCTGGCTTCCCCCCTTCTATTGTTGAGAGGGGGACACTCACTTGGAGACACCCAGGTTACAGAGAGTAAACACAGGAATAATTCTAAAAACTGGGGAACAAACACAGTCCTTCCCAGAGAGGCAATGATCCAAAAAGATTGCCTTCTTCCCTTTCTGCCTCAGCACTGCTCAGCAAAGCCCAGGCATGGTTCACCTCAGACCAAAATTAGCTGGTAACTACAGTGATTGAAAAGCAGTGGCCCCAGGGCCCTGTTGTGTGTCCAGGGACCAGAAGTAGCAGTACTTCCTGCTTACGAGGCTAAGTGAAAGGCACCGACAGGAAACACTACTTTTCAGTTGTATAAAGCCTGATCCCAAACCAGCAGGGAACCTAAGGCAGCTTGGCTTGGCCAAGGACTGGAGGAAATGAGGCAGTTTAACAACGCCTTCCATTTTGAGCTCTCTACTCTGATGCTCACCTACTAAGTACAAAAGCAAGCATCTTACAAACCACAGAATTGCTGTCAAATGGATCTGGTCAGAGTGCACCATGGAGGAACTCCAGTTTCAGAGAGCAGAGCACTGGACTTGGGACTCCAGAGAACCGAGCTCTACTTGCAGTTCTGCCATTGGCCTGCTGGCCACGTCATTTGTCCTGCCTGTTCCTCATCTGTAAAACAGGTAAACTGGATACTGGCTTCCTATTTTAGAAAGTATTTTGAGACCTATGGGTGGAAAACACAAGTGGTGATTCTCAGAGTGCCATGGCACCTTGGGATGCTGCAAGATCCTTTGAAGGGTGATATAAGGTGTGAGGAGTTAAGTGAGGCATGAGCAAATAAGCACAGGCTCAGGCTTGTTCCTAGCTGGATGCTTCCCTGCCCCCACTGGCCAGCTCCTCTGCAAGGAAGTAAGAACCGTGGTATGTAAATTTGTTTTTAACACTGGGTGTCACTCAATTTGCAAAAGTTATAGAGGGGTGCCCCTTGTCCAAAAAGGTTGAGAACCACTGCACCCAAGAGCACCAGCACCAGTCTTACTTTGCTGAATCCTACTTTGAGGGTCTGTTCCATACAGGCTTTCCATTAGAACCCCCGCCCTAAAGTTGATGCCCTCCTCTGAAATGGTCACTCATACCTAGTAGAAGCCTTATCAGGGCTGTGTTGTGATGCTGGCTGCATGCACGATACCCATCCTGCTTTCACCCTGTGTTAGATTAAGAAAAACCTGGTTGCTCAAAGCTTGCTCCCCAGTGTGAAAACTGCTCTCATGTTTTGGTTAAAGCTGTTTTTTCTCAGCCATATGCCATTCATGCTCCAGAGAACTCTTCTTTTCATGAAAAAAATCCCTTTATGGGATTCCAGCAAGTGCAATTCCATACTGACTTACATTAGGAGATAAAGGGCCTAGTTCACAGTTACTCTTGGCCTGCACTTGGGGTAGGGACAGTACTCTGGAGCAAAGGCAGCTTTAAATCACTTGTGTACTGGGTCACAAAACTACACAAAGGACCCAGTGTAACCAAGAGCAGATCCAGGTCTACTGTAACTCGTGCTCTCTTTTCCCCTAGCCTCTGAGGAGAGCAGTTACAGGGCACTCCATCCTTGTCGCACTCTACATCAGAGCTGGGAGGAAGCAAGCAGAGTGCACAAAATTCTCAGGAGGCCTCTTCCACCCACTTTGAGGCTCCTTAAGCTGCACTGGCCACAGAAATAAGTTAGGAGTGTAGCTGAGAACCAGACTGCCCTGCAAGTATGAAAATAAACAGTCATGAAGGAATACGCACGCCTTGGGCTGTTTCCTGCCCTTGGTCAGTTCAGAGAGCTCAGGCAGGGCTTCCATCAAAGGCTGCATGTCTCCCACCACTGGGGTTGCCTTCCGCTTTGCTTCGGCTTTCTGCTTCTGTTTGGCAAGCTTCACACTTGCTATTTCTGACATAGAAAAAGAAAAAAGTGACAAAGGCCATCAGTTTCCCAGCACCCAAAAACCTCTGAGGGATGGCTTCAAAAAAAGGGAGTATAGATGTGATAAAAACCTTCTTACATTAAACACACTTATATGGTGCTTTCCCTCTCTTAAAACTCTATTTGACCCCTTTATTTCTAAACTTAGTTAATCAGAAAACTCCAGCCAGTCCACTAGACATCTCCCCCTTCTTGTTCATTTTAGCAGACTGGGAGTGTGACTCCCAGAATGGTTTGCCAGTGGACTGTTTCTCTCCCATGCCTAGTCACACATTTGTATGATTGCTTGTATCACAATTGTTGGGCTACGGATGGCAGGAGGGAAAAACTCACCCAAATGGGGAAAAGGAGCATTGAAGGCTCGGAGCAGTGGGGTGGATGGCTGGAATGGATTATTAATTGCATAGGCTCCACAAGGAGGAGTGGGAGAGGGGAAGGGGCAGAGGTCCTCTTGCAGACTTTTAGCTTCAAGACCATGCAATATTGTGAAGAGCCGACTTGCATCTGCTGTACTCAAAAGTAAAATGGTCTCATGGCACAAGCACTGGGTTGGATGCAGTTCCCAACTGTGTCACAGACTCCCCTCCATGATTTTGCAGAAGTCATTTGGGCCTCATCTACACTAGGGACTTCAGTTCTTCGAGCTTCAGTTGTTTCTGCTTCAGTTTGCTCAAAACAAGGGAGCATACGCACATTTAACATGCTGTACGGGAGCATCCAAGCTAGGATCCTTGAAGACAACACTATTAAGAAAGCGTGTCCCTAGACTCCATTCTGCATCCATTAAATATTGCTGGGTGTGAGTAGAGCCGATCAGTGCAGGGAGGATCAGGAGTGCTGTCTCCCCACAACCCTATGTGAGATGGACTGGAAAGTAAATCTCAGTCTGTCATTCCTTCCCTACCACAACTGCTCAGCAGGTCTCCACCTGGCTGCCTGCTGTACTGTAAGAGGACAGAGTAACTGGCCAGTATGTAGAATGCAAACAGATAACAGTGATGGAACTAGGTATACTGCCTTCAGTAGCACCTGATCCTGTTCCCCTCTGGGGCTCCTGCAAGCCAACGGGCACTGGAGCAATCAGAGCTTCTCTGTCCCCCCTACATAGCAGCAGCACCCATGGCAGGGAGCCTGAATCTAAAAGATTCACTTGATCTGGATGGCCCCACACAGGGCAGCCTACAAAACCCTGAAGACCAGTTAGTCTTCCAAGTCTATAACTAGCCCTGGGTTAATCTAACATGCCCCAGCTAGATACAGCACTCAGGGGCGATACACCATTGGGGGTCCAGAGTGCAATGTGTTTCAGCTACTCCCTAGTTCCATCCAGGCCACAGAAGGTGACCTGAAAGCCAACTATGCTAACTTGACACCAACTATGCTAACCTGACAGGGGGATGGTGGGCAATTCTGCTTCCTTTGTGGTGTCTGAGTAATACTGCAGCAGCTGAACAGGCCAGAGAGCCTGCTCTATTGATTGTGGCCCCTTGGCCTCAGAATCAATGGATCCTGGTCCCAGGCTAGAAAGCTTGGTCCCCTCTGCTCTGGAGCATTACTAGCTAGTTAGTTCATCAGCATTGTGCTACCCACCCTGCAATCAGCTGTCTGTCCTGTTCACTTCATATTTGCAGGCAGCCCCTTTAAATCAGTTTGTTTGCTACCCTTTCAATTGCCTGAGCTTCTGATGAACTGTGATTCTACAGCACATGGATGTTTGTGACTAATCTGGACAGTAAGCAATTCTCCTTCCAGGCGCCTGCCAAGAGCCCGGCTTTCTGTTCTGCATCAGTTCTTTTTTTACTCTAGCCTTATACAGCTTGGCTACTACTTCACAGACTGCCTAAAAGTTACATACCCAAAAGTTTACAAGCACCTGATTTCCAGCAAACATCCCAGATTCTTTTTCTATGATGTCTTCTTCATCCAAGGAGCCATGCAGTTTCTTCCCACCCTCCTCCCCACCCCAGTGCATGCTTCTAATGGCTAAAGGCTTGCATCAGTTTTCCTTTAGTTGCTTCCCCAGGATGATTTATTTTTGCTTGGAATGGAACATGCTTGTACAAGTTTTGGATTACGCTATTGAACTTGAGTTTCCAGGGTATAAGGATCAGACTCCCAAGAAAACAAGGGATAACCTAAAGAAAAATATCTTGGCATTAAAAAAGAAGGAAAGAACAAGGGAAAGATCAAGCAACAAAATGGTCCAAAAAACATTTACTATTGGGAGGAGGAGTGGGGGGTGGGGAAGAGATAAAGGACATGATTGTGACTACTTTGTAACAATAGGACAGGCAGAGATGAATTTTCTCCATTTGAAAACATAGGCATTTACCACAGCTTCAAGCCAGTGTACTGCGAGCAGCATGGAAATTCTTGTTGTTCTGTGACAAGACTGAACACAATGCATAATAATTTTTTTCTTTAGGCTTGTTTAGAAAGCAGAGTGCTGTGCATTTCCTTGGAGTTTCCACTTGGGGCTCTGATTAAAAACACAAAAAACAACCTGACTGACATAATGAATGCTGATTTTGAGTCTTCTATCAAAAGGGAAGAAGTGATGCATCAGTTCAGGTCATCAGTCTAGCTAGTGAAGCAAGAGTTATAGAGATGTGATCCTATGAATTTCTCCTTCGAGACCTTAATTCAGGAAAGCACTTAATTGCTTATTTAGGTCCCATATAAGTCAATTTCTATGTACAATGTTCTCCATTTAAGTGCATAGCCTTAGGAATGGAAAAAAGGCTACATACCTAGAATATGCACTCATCCAAACTTAATGTAAGCAATGCTCATTAAGTGCACATAAAACTGTCAATGCCATGCTGTTAGCAACCTTGAACATGATGGAAGGCAGCAGCACTGAAATGGATTAGGTCCTATTATTTTCAAGGCTTCTAATAGCAGCTCTTTTACAACAGCTTACTTCTATGGAGTTAAGGAGAGAGTACATTCAGAAAGATGCTATACGCTTAAGTGGCATATACAATTCACCCATATGCAGATAACTGATGTTTGTTACAATGAAAGCAACAGATAACCTGGGAGTGGTTATGCAGTTAAGAATATTACACATATAAAGAAGGGGAGTAATACTGCACACACTTAAAACTGAGCCCGAGCATAATCACTTTCCTGAATAAGGGCCTTAATTGGTGCGGGAAGTTACAGAATTAGCACTCCTAAAACAAATCAACATGCCTATGCAATAAGGACTTCACACAGTTAAGGGAGTTAATCAAGCTAAGGGCAAATTACAGGCAGCGAGATGGATACAAAAGCAGCCAGTGAATTCAGAAATAATGGAAATAGCCAGGGAGGGAGTTGAAAGATAACATGGAACTCAGAGAAGTCCTGAAACAGGCAGACAGTTATTTTTCAACCCACACCCACAATATCGCTACTTCGGGAAGTCTGGCAGACCAGCCATAGCACAAATGCTGACCCAACAGCTTGGACTGGCTTCTGACACAAAGGGAACTTTTACAAGCACTTCTCAGATTTTGCTTAGATCACAAGACATGCATTAACTTTGCACCAATTTAAAGAATAATTGAAATCTAAAAAAAAAAAAAAAATTCAGAAACAGCAGCAAAATGGGGATTTAAACTTCAGTGTTGGCTGCACTGAAGAGTTAACAGGCAAGGTGGCACAGGCTTTTCCTTTTCTGGCTCTGCTACTGGCCTACTGAGTTTCTTCCCTTCTTCCCGTCTCAGGTTCCTCCCCTCTGCCCATCTAAAAAAAGAGACAGTGATTATGACTGGCCAAACTGTACAGTGCTTTAAGATTATGGATATATGCTATACCAGAGCTGGGCACTCCTATTCATAATGCCAACTCTCCAGTATTACAAAACATGAAACTGGCTTAACAAATGACAATTTAAAGGGTGGAGTTGCCTATATTTATGCCCAGGGCTGAGGTGACTATCATGTTCAAATCTATCATACTCAAGTCACTCTGCAATTAGAACTACAATCTGATTTTAAAAAATAGCAGCAGTAGCAATTTCAGGTGACTGGCTGATTGCAGCAGACATGACTTTATGAAAAACTAGGAATATTGCAAAACTCATTAAAAAAAATCTTAAGAGGTGGCAACAGTGGAACATTTTGAATCACTGGTAGGTGAAGTACCTCATTACACTTAGTGTTATCTTAAAAGTGCAAAAATGGCACTGTTAGCAGAAAACTGATTAGTTGATTTTTTTTTAATTCCATACTACTTTTAATGGAGGATTTTTTCTGCTTTTATGCTGTTTTGTAAAGTCTTTTTAGTTAGTCAGCTTTTCTCTTGTTACATGACCATAGTCCAGGTGCTAACTTTTGCTGACTTTCCAGTTACAGTGATCTGAGGGGGTTCTGGTAAGATTAATAGGTAGTCAATTTTCAAGCAAACTGATTTACAGTCCAGCAATGTCCTTTTAAAAGCTTGGTGAAGCAATAGGAAGGTCTGGGGATTTAGACATTTTAAGGCTGCCTAAATGTTTCCATTCAAGTCTTTTTCTATTGCTTATAAACCCTCTCAAACATTTACCTTTGGGGCTGAAATTTTCTACTTCCACATGCTGCCCCCAATTACAGTTTTCTGGAAAGTCCAAGTTAAAGCAAGCAAGCAAGCAAGCAAGCAAGCAAGCAAACATTTATCTGATAGTGAGCAAGAAACATGTATTCTTAGCTCAGCCCTAGGCTGCCATATCATCTTGGGCAAGACTTCTTGTAACGTGCATGTGCAAAGGATCTGCTTGGAAAAAAACATCACCACACACACTTAGTCCTAGCATTTTATCACTCTGAATGCTTAATTTTATGGTACCAAACTTCTAGGGAGTGGTTGCCACACTAGTCTGGAGGAGCCCACCATGTTTCTAGGAGAAGTAAGAGATGCTGGGCTTTCCCTTTTCACATAATACATACTGAGATTGTGGAACTCACTTCTGCAGGACACTGTTGAGAGCAAGAGCTTAAGGAGACTGACAGACAGACTGGATATCAGTGTTACATATAAAATATCCAGATTCCTAAGAAACTCTTACAAATGTTGGAAGGGATTTAAAAATCGTATGTTCCAGGGTTTAAGCCAGTCTTTAACATGAAAGCGTAAGGATCAACTCCTTGCCATCAAGGGTTCTTGCACCCTCCACTGAAGTTCATTGTTGGCCACTGTCAGAGACAGGAGACTGAACTAAATGGACCCAGTCTGACACAACCTAGATGATTCCAAAACACCTATAAGAGTTACAGGTGCTATGGAGATGTTGAGTTGCACAAGCATTGAAATTGCAACTGACAAGCCAGATGCTGGGACTCCTGGGACTATCCCCATGTTGTAACCCAATACTAAGGCACTGAAGTTGCTGGCACACGTGATATGTTGCTGGAGCTAGGTGGTGTTTCTGGCTTTTCTTAATAACCACAGCAAAACATGGTAGATGTTATGCAACAAAGGAGCCAGGGCTATTCTAGTGCTTACTTTGTCAAGATCTGGCTACAGCAGGACCCAGGAAAATTGTGACCTACTGGACTGAAATTTATAGACAGCAGGTGGGAAGAAAAAGTGCAGATTGATGAAACTTTCCTAATGAGGGGGAAACAGTTCAATTGTGGAAAGACACTGACAAAGCTTCAATGCTTAGAGTGAGCTGTCCTGACCTGCTGATATTAGATGGAACTGGCTGACAAGGCTGTCCAGGGCTGGAGTTGCACATTGTAGTGGAGTCTCCTACTTCCGTCTGCTATTGCATATTCTCATTGCCAGGCGCATGGGTATAAAGTCATGGGTGTGCATGGGTTTCCGCAAGGAATCCATTTCTAAGCACTTGGGGAGAAGGTGATTAGGAACAGTCAGTATGGATTCACCAAGGGCTAGTCACACCTGACCAACCTAATTGTCTTCTATGACAAGACTGGCTCCATGGATGCAGGGAGAGCAGGGAACATGATATACCTTGAATTCAGCAAGGCTTTTCATACAATCTCCCACAACATTCTTGCAATCAAGCTATGGAAGTATGGGTTGGATAAATGGACTGTAAGGTGGGCAGCAAACTGGCTGGATCATTGGACTCAAAGGGCAGTAATCAATGGCTCAATGTCTAGCTGGCAGCTGGTATCAAATGGAGTGCCACAGGGGTCAGTCCTGGGGCTGGTTTTGTTCAATACTTTCATCAACAGCCTGGAAGATGGGATGGAGTGCACCCTCAGCTAGTTTGCAGATGGCACCAAGCTAGGGGGAGTAGTAGGTATATACTGAAGGTTAGGGCCAGGATTCAGAAAGACCTCGAAAAATTGGTGCATTGAACCAAAAGAAATCTCAGAGACTCAATAAAGAGAAGTGTAAAGTCCTTCACTTAGGACAGAACAATCCCATGCACAGGCTGAGCACTGAATGGCAAAGCAGCAGCTCTGCAGAGAAGGACCTGGGGGTTACAGTGGACAATAAACTGAATATGAGCCAGTAGCGTGCCCTTGTTGCCAAGAAAGCCAATGACATACTGGGCTGCATCAGTAGAATTGTTGCCAGCAGATTGAGGGAAGTGATTATACCCCTTTTTGGCACTGATGAGACCACATCTGGAGTACTGTAACCAGTTCTGGACACCCCACCCCCCCAACACACACTACAAAAAAGATGTAGGCAAATTAGAGTCCAGCAGAGGGCAGCAAAAATGGTTAGGGGGCTGGGACACATGACTTCAGAGAACAGGCTGAGAGAGCCTAGAGAAGAGAAGACCTGGGCAGGGAGGAGGAAGAATTTAATAGCAGCCTTCAGCTACTTGAAGGGTGGTACCAGAGAGGATGGGGCTAGACTGTTCTCAGTGGCAGATGACAGAACAAGGAGCAATGGTCTCAAGTTGCAGCAAGGGAAGTTTAGGTTAGATATTAGGAAAAGCCTTCTTACTAGGAGGGTAGTAAAGCACTGGAACAGGTTACCCAGAGAGGTTGTGGAATCTCCATTCTTGGAGGTTTCTAAAGGCCTGGTTAGACAAACCCTTGGCTGGGATGATAAATTGGGGATGGTTCTGCTTTGAGCAGAGTCTTGAACTAAATGACCTCCTGAGGTCCCTTCCAACCCTAATCTTCTGTGATTCTACAAAATAGAGGAAGAGGAGATCCCACTTAGTATTTGAGGCTGGGCTACTGGGAAGCACATTAAAGCAAGCAGAAGAGGCCTAAGGAGTGTTAACTGAGCACTGTGGCTTGGAGTTCAAAGCACCTTAAATGTCACAGACTAAACTAAACAAAAATACATCTCCATATGCACAAGGTTCAACTACTTCCCTTGCCAAGGGCTTGGTTTTGTCCAACTCAGAGGCATCAGAGTCCAGCCCTACAAAAGCACTTCAACAAGTTGGCTGATCCGTAGCTTCTGGGACAGATCAGCACCATAACCTGCCACCTTGCGGGCCTCCCCTCATTTGGGGTATGCATCTTGCAGCGCGATTGCTGCTGTGACCACTGCTCATGTGCCCAGTTTGGCTTCAATTAGTAGTAAGAACTAACTGCTCTGAGATTGACAGAGTTTCTCAAGCAGGTTTTAGAGTACACATTTTGCTCCTTGCTTCCACAGCTACTCAGCTGGCAGCTGATATTCCTAGTCTGAAGCTAGCTCAGGAACATCTGAAAGGGCTGCCGTTACAGTAATCCTACCATATAGGCAGCTTTTTGTTAAACACCACCACAAACTCTCTCCAGGTTTTAGAGTTCCATTTTCCCCACCTGCCCTGCAGGGCTCCATGTGAAACTACATTTGTCAGTGTTCCCTGGGCTCCTGGACAGGGAAAGAATCGCCAAGACTTGGCTAGAGCCAGTCTAGATGCCCTGGTGCTGACTTCCCAGCTCACCTGCTAATGAACTCCACTTTCAGGCCCCAAAACCAAAGTCAGCAGAATGGGTGTTTCCAAAGCCACATAACCCCTTCCCAAGCCCATTCCCTTTCTTCCTGCGAGTACACTCCCCTTTCCTCTGGCTCCGGCTCCTGAAATGGGTTCATACTACCCCACAAGTTCTCACTTAAATCCCCGAAGGGTCACTACACGCCACAGACTTGGAATGTGCTTGGTCTAGCACCGAGAGCAGAAGAGTGCTTCTAGGGGCTGTGTGGAAGAGCCCATGAGAAAGCCATCCTCTTATCAAGAGGGTACTTACTCTGCAGCCATCTCTCTTTTCTCAACTTCATTTTTTCTTTCTTTGACAAAAGTGTTTTTTCCTCTACATCTGAAAAACAGAACATAAGAGAACTGTGAGCAGTACTTCCACTTCTGGCTTTTCCACCACCCTTCTCCCCTCAGCTCCACTCAACCAGTTACTCTCATAACCAGCACTAGAAACTTATACAGGCAATCCCCCCTACCGCCCCTGCTTAGTGCTCTTAATTGGTTCCTGAAAAAATGAGCGTTAAGCGAAACTGAAAGTATTGATGACCCAAGATGGTGACCACAATTGTTTTTAATGACTCAAGATGGCGACCACGAGCATTATAGCAAAACTCGCTGAGTGCTAAGCGAAATCAGGCATCAATTTAAAATGAGCATTATAGTGAAATAGCGCTAAGTGAAACAGCGTTAAGTGGGGGTTGCCTGTAAGCTGAATGTACTGCCGCTAACTGGCATCACAGGAGCCAGCACTGCCCCATGTGTTGCAGCTGCCCCAGGTGCAGACCTGCATTGTGAACAAGAATTTACCCCCACTCCTCACAAATGCAATAGTTTACTTGAAACATCAAGGCATGAGAAATTGAGCAAGTGCACACTCTAGAGAGGATCCATATGTGAAAAAACATACTAGGCTGGAAGGCATAAGATCAGACTTCTGCTTCCTGTTCTTTCACTGACCTACTGCATGTTGAACACGTCAATTTGTCAGCCCCCTCTCCCCTCTTCCTACCTTGCTTGTTTCCCCTTCTACCATATCTGTCTCTCCTCTGTGGAGATTGTAAGCTCTTTGGGAAAGGGGTGGCCTCCTTACTTAATCTCTGGCCTAATGGGGTCCTCCTCTTAATTATGAAAATTGGACATTACTGTAACTCTACTATTAATAATAAACTGCACGGTTAAGAGCTAGACAGAGTGCCAAATTTAGGTTTCAGCTGGCTGTCAGAGGCCACTAGGTAATTGCTGAAATCGAGTGCCTTATAAAATAAAGACCTCTCAAGCACTTTATATTACCATGGCTAATATTTTATCTTCTGGAAAAACAGAAGAAAAGTGTGATCATAATAGTCTTCCTAAGAAAGATCCAATTCTGTTGGCTTGTCTCTGGATGAAATATGGACCAAGCAATATTGACAGAGGAAGAACTCAAGTTATGACTAATTACTTGCTTCTCCCATTCAGGACAAAATACTATCAACAAACGTGGAAAAGACGTGGGAGAGTAAAAGCTCTACCCCCTTGTCTAAAGAAATATCCAACCAATGATGGATATTGGCAATTCAATGAGGTTCTGGAAACTACTGAATTGCACAAGTTTTTGGCCAACTGAAGACAATGTTTTCTCTAATGTTGTTCAAATCACCCTGTAGAGTTATAATTCAGGGGTATAATTCAATATAACATTCTCTTTTTTTGTTGTTGCTTACCTGAGAAGAAAAAGGCATAAGACCTTTTAACAGGAGCTAGACTTAAACAAAGCCAGGCTTGTACAGGAAAGGGTGGACAAAACTGAAAATATTAAACTAATCTGACAATTTAATTCTGGCTTGAAACAACACAGGTTATTAGTATTCAAATTTTATTTTCTTGTGGTTCCACTAGGAGATTTATTTACCACAGTAACAAGAGAGAGTGGAAGTAAATCCTTCCCTGGGAACTCTAACATATATTCCCCATATTCAGCATTGTAAGGTAGCATTTGTAGCGACTGAAGAAGTTCCTATCAACATCTTGGTCTCTAGAATGAAGACCAGGCATTCAAGAACACACACTTCCCAGATGGAGACACTTCTGCTTCTAGAACCACAAGTATGACAGTCCAGCACATGCCCACCATGTATGCAGACCCCAAATTGAAATCTTAAATCCAGCGATTCTCAACCAGGGTGCCGCAAGAGCCTTTCTAGGGTGCCACCGAGTACCACACAGGGGTAGCACTGTTAGGTATACAAACGTGATAAACCCAAAGATTTCAAATAGGATTCCAGTTTCAAAAACACTGACCTGTTGTGGGCTTTGAGTTCTTTGCAACAGAAAAACTGCCCTCTTGGTTTTCACTTTTTTGACTACAGAAAAAAATAAGAGCTGTCATTTCCTGAGGGGTGCCTTGAGTACAGTGAAAGGTACCTTTAGTTTAAAAAGGTTGAGAACCACTACCTTAAACTTCGAGACAGTGCTTTTTCCCCCCAAATTCCTGCGATTTCAGCACCAGGGAAGCAAGAGTGAATCACCAGAAGCGGATGGAATGCAAATCATAAAATAGACCCCAAGGATCTGAACAACTGCCCAGACTTGACGACACTCACTCAATTTCTGGCTAACACTGAGCGAGTGTTTCTATTTCTCTATGTTTTCTATTCCCTGCCCCTCTACCCTCAACCTTCCCCCACTGAAAACATGTTCATTACTTCATTGGGAAAACAGTGCCTGGAATGATCTGTTAATGAAAAAACATGTTAACCAGCTGGCCACTTCTAGCAATAACAATAATTCAGTTATTTATGCCCCCCTCCTCCCAAAAACAGCAACAGAATATTTAAGGAAACACAAAAGCTGCCTTTTTGGCAGTGGTACAGCCTTCAGTCAGGCAAGCAAGACAGAAATCCCTACAGCAAGTCCCAAAAAGGAATTACTTTTGGGATTATTTTCTCTCAAACGATCCTATGGGCAAAGATCAAAGTCTTTAAAAGTATTCAAGGATCCTGAAAATTTAAAATGCCTGATTTAGATAGAACAATCCTTACTTCCCAACCCTCCAATGCTAATACAACAGGTCAGGTCACAGCAGCAGAGTCTGTTCCATCACATTATACACACTGCACTTTCTTATGATTAGTGGGAATTTATACTCTAAGGACATGGCTGGCAGTGGAATCAAGGCAGGTGGCCCAGGGAGTCCACATGGACCCAGTGATGTTACTGGAATACTGTACAGGTAAAACCATTTAGTTTTTGGCTGAGCCACAGCCCTAACAGCATCCTGCTAGTCATACACGTGCCGCTTGCCACATTTGTGCTGTTTCTGTTTAGACTGTGCTTCTCTGAGCAGAGAACGTGTCTGTCTCATACAATGCTGAGCCATTTACAAACATATCCCATCCATAAGGCTATGTTAAAGGAATGCCAAAGCTCTGCAACTGAGTACTTAAATCCAGAATTGCCAATGTTAAGGCTTCATGAGCAGGTTTCACTTTGCTCCTCTGTGTAAACCCTGAAAATCAGGGTCTAGGCAAAAATCTCTCCCCATAATATTTAACATGTAAATACCAAGCAATATTTTCATGAACAAACAGTTGTCATTCACATCCTCTCCAACCTTTTGATCGGGGGGTGGGGCGGGGATTTAAAAAAAAAAGTTTTAAAAAGCAAACATTTTGGGGATTCTCCCAATTATGGTAGAGTCCTGAACTGAATGCTACCCATAATTACATCATGAAATAACATATTATTTCTGTAACCATCAATTAACCACAACATATTCGATTACTATATGCTAATTTGTGCATGCTGGAGCCCAGGAGAATCATTTATGTATACAAACAGGGAAGAAGGCTGGCTATTATACATCAGGGTTTTCTTGTTCCAAATGTTACAGCAGTTTTTTGGGTGAAAGAACATTTCTCTGCACATTTCTTCACTCAAGCAACTCCTTTGCCTTAGTTCCAGCCCCACCCAATTGCTGTAAAGGAAGATGAAAAGGAAGAGGAAGATGTCCCCGCCCTGTTTCTGAAAGCACTAACGCACTCCCACCACTCCAAAGCTTACCTCCTTCACAGAAAGTGGGTATTGCAACCTCCTGGGTAAAAGTAGGACAGATGGGGAGTAGCACAAAGCCCATACATCTTCATCACATTTGCCAAAATCTTGGCAGATAAGCCAGCTCAGAAGCAAATTCAAGCACTTAGCAAAGATTTCATGCCACTCTCTCCTCTCCCCCTGTAAGCCAGCCAGGATCCAGAAGTAGACCAGGGCTCTATTCACCTCTATCCCCACCAGGCTCACCACCAAGGTCTGCAACCAGCCAAGGGCATGGCAAGTGACAGAAGTATTCAGGACAGTTCTCCACCTCAGCCACACAACCCTGTAGAGCTGCAAGTGCATGCCTATGTATCACTAAAATCCAGGTTGGGTGTGGATGACATCTAGGGGTTCAGAAAATTTGCAAAGACATAGTGGCTCTGATAAGGCCCTATGAACTTCCTTCCTACTCATTCCCACCTATGAAGCACATCTCATCAGCAATGGTCTTGTACAGAAAGGTCAGTAAGGAAGAAAGCCATACTCCTCTGGCTGTTCTCTTTTTCGGTAATAGAAAGTGGGGAAGAGATTTCCCTCACCAACATAACAATCTACCTAGTCTCCCCAGAGTCCAAACTGCTCTGGAGCTCTTCCTCTTCTTTTTCCTGCACCGCCATGGAAGGTCCCATCTCTCCCCAATCTCTTGCTTTACTCTTCTCCCCTCCCTGCCTCCAATGCACACCAGATGAGTTATTCCTGTGTCTTCTTCCATCCTCATTTCTGAGGAATCTTCCACTTCTGTTTCCAATTCTGCCCTTGGAAACAAAAAGGTCAGCCTCCACCTTCACCTAAATCAGGAAGACTGCCAGAAAAAACCCACCAGTTTCCAGCCAAGCCTAGAAACTTCAGCCCAAGACACAGCACCATGGAGAGTTAGAAAGATGAAAACTGGGACCAAAGGAAAAGTACATTCATACCTTAAAGGTAGTGGGAGCTATATCAGGCATCTTTCCTACCTAAAGGTATTCACATAAGCAGATTTAGCAACTCAGCCCAGCCTCAGCAGATGTTAGGAGCAGCCCTAGCACCACATGCAGCCTATGGAGTGAGCAACACTGCCCTACTCTGCAGCATGGGAACAAAGGCCCACATGAATTTCTGTTACCAGAGCCCCAAAGGCCCAGCATGGTCCCCGTGGCCATGGGATTTGTCTTCATATTAAAAACAAACTGCTCCCACATGTTCTCCAGTACCCAGGTTACACCTCAGGTTTCTGGGTAGCTGCCAGCATTCCCCTCCCCACAAAATGCTGTGCTATGTACCAAA